GGATTCATTCTCACATGCTGGATTTTAGTGGTTGCATTGGTTAATAAAAATCATTTGAAGGATATTAATTCAACTAGCTAGGTGATGGGTTTCAGTCTCAACAACAAGGGAAGTAGTTCAACTGGTATTTTCTTTAACTCTAAGAGATGAAGCAATAGGCAAATGACACCAAGCAAACATTATTGCTTTCTCTCCTAATCATGTTTTTGTCACTTAAGTCTTCCAAGAATAAACGCATTTTTTTTGTTCATCAATACCAATTGTAGATCCATTAGCTCTTACTCTTTCTAAAATACTTCCAACTGAATCTCTTTCACATTTGAAATATAAATTATAATGTTATGTTTTATGCCATTGGAAGCCACCAACAAATGGGTAAAATCTTGGGCTAACAAGCGTGAAATCTCGTGTTTAAGTTTGAGAATAGCCATTTCACATAAAAAGGGGAAAAAAAACACAAATACAAACACACACATACACACACACAAATCATTTTTGTCTATGGAAGGTTTGTTTGTATTCAGTCCATCCCTCTCAAGACCAGTGTTTTAAAAACCAACCTGGAGGCCAAATCGTTTTTGTCTATGGGTTACAAGTCACCGGTTCAACCATTTGGATCAAATGGGTCAGACTGTACCACATTAGCAATACATGAACATGTATTTGTTTGTGTAGGTATGTATAAACATGTATTTTATCAACAAATAATATATAATTATGTTCTATATGTAATATATGTATTATTTTATATTTAATTAAGTTTTTTAATTCTATTTTAAATTTTTTATTTATAAAAATATTAAAAATTGTAATTTGATACTAAAAAGATGGTGTTTTGGAAAAAAGTAGCAAGGCAAGGCATCGACGGCCCCTTGGGACATATAGATCTCGAGAAGTTACTCAAAAAAAAAAAAAAAAAAAAACAATCACCTCAATCAGGCATCGGAGTGCAAAGTTATGGCCTCCTGAACTTTGCATACACACTTAGTGTGCAACCCATGACTTAGCCACCGGGTCAAACCGGTCAACAGTCAACCATCTAGGTTGGATGGTTTTTTTTTAAGTCAACATTTTTTGCCTCCCTTCAGGTTTTACTCAAACTGGATCAAAAATCTTAGCTGAATGATGGTTCGAGTGATTCAACCAGCTAGGTCCACGATGGGTTAAAAACACTGCTCAAGACCATAAATAGTTGTATCTTTTTTTTTTATAGAAAAATAGTTGTAGCCTTTTGTTACCCATTTGTTGATACATGCATTAAACACCTTTACAACTCCTTTTGGCCAACCAATGGTTCATGTTAAACATAAAGGCCCCATTTGTTTTTGGGATTTGGACGGGGGAGTTGGTCAATGCAATTGTGGCTCCCATTAACCAACTTATCCATATTCTTATTTAAGAAATATGTGGGATCTTTGGCAAAATTGATTTTGCTAGTCATCATTTACCTAGGTAAGTGATATCCTTTTCAGACTTGGGTAAACTGAGTTTCTCAAGTAAAAGATAAATGAAAAATAAAATTAAAATAGTAAAAAAAATGCCCCCGTAAGATATATTTACCTAAAAAAATAAAAAAAAAGATATATTTACCTAAATAAATTAAACAAAAAAAAACATGAATAAATGCACTTGTCAGAAAAATAGGTTCTTGAAAAATGAATAAGGCCAAATAGTGGTCCAAAAATTTGGTTAGCCACCAACTAAGGCTCAATTAGTGTGATCTTCGGCTCGTATAACAGAGATTTGGGATGAAATCTTTTGGCACTAAGGTTGGTGGGTTAAGCAGAGACTTGGGATTAAATATGGTTTGAGAGAACCTTAGTTAAATATAATTAAATGAACTCTCTACTCATTGTGTTTCTTTTTACCTTAGCTTTAATTATTAGAATTGTGCATTTGCATTTTTCTTTCAAAATTCAAATTGATTAAAATTCTTGAGATTATAAAAAGTAGAGGCTAATTTAACAAGGCAAGCGTGAGATTGGCTTCTATCAGGGCAAAGCTGTGCCCACACCGTTTTAACAGCCATTTTTACTCTTGCATTGGGAATATCTCTTCATAAAATAAAGCATACAAGCATGAAGATATTCTCAATGCAAGGCAGTAAAGGGTGCTTGAACTGGCTTTGCCCTGACTGAAGCTGAACTCAGCAAGCATGCAGTGCCAAATGAGATCAGATTGGCGCCCCACAGAGGGCATCCCAGGAACACCACACAACACCATCCACCCATGTATTGGAAACATCTTTCCATGACAAGTACGAGAGATATTTTCCAGTGCATGCTGCGATGTACATGTGGGACACTTTTGGGGCACCAATCTGATCTCGTGCCAAATACCTTATCTACTGTATTATATTCCTTATATTAGGTTGTGTTTAATTTGTGTTACGGGAAGTGTAAAAAAGGAATATTCTCAAATATTTTCCCCTACCAATGTTTGGTTTTTTGGATGTCATAAGATGGGATGGGAAAAAGGTGAGGTTACATTTTTCAATTCTTGAGAAATGGAATTACAAACTTATTTGACATAAAAAGTGGAAATGGTGGAAGAAACTTGTTTAACATAAAAAACACCTATGTTGTATTTTTAAGAGTTAATATTAGACTAACGATTTGTTAATAATTGAATTAAATAAATTCAAATAAACAATTAATAGAAAATATTAATTAATTAAAATTTTTAAAAGTAACAAGAAAATATAGAAATTACTAATTAATTAATAAAATAAAATACTAACTAACAAAAAAAAATCTTAATTAGTTAATTGTATGTTATTGGGATTGATGTTTCCACTATTTCCCTTTTGCAACTATAAATGATGAAACATAAAAAATTTCCACCCATTTTCTCTTTTTTGTCGTATCCCATTCCTTACTTTCCTATCTAACCAAATTCTTCCCTTAACCAAACATAGCCTTATAGAATCTCTCCCTATCCAATGGGTTGAGTCACCAAATAAGTATTTTTAGTAAAAAAAAGGGCTTCTTGAGTTCTTATCTTTAAAATTTAACTTATAAATATTTAAAATAAGTTAAAAAAGAGAATTGGCTCCTTAAAAGTGGATTTGTCCTATTATGAAGTCATTGTTCTCATACCTTGATTTTTTAGTTACATATATTGACCTGCCGTTTATAATCAGTCGATTGGCTTGGCATTATTATCTGGAATATCCAATCCTTGGCTTCATTCGGATAAACTTCTTTTTCTTTGATCTTATTTTATTTTGTTTACATATTGCTTTCTTCTTGGAATTTCATTTAGTTGTTTTTTGATTTATTTTTAATAATTTTTGAAGTAGGACATTATAGAGGCAAAGTGGGGTTTTAAGGAAGCGAAGGTGGTCTCTTTTTCTTTTTAATTCTTTGGGTAAAGAAAGGGGGTCTTTTATTTATAGTAGGACAGTTTTGTTATGGGTGCATTATGATTAAATTATTAATAAAGAACCTGAGATATAAGCTTGGGCCTTCCTTTCACAAACCGGGATTCTAGACCTAAAAAATTGGGCCTAAGCCCAATCAACGGTTTTTTAAGTCTAGGATGGGCCAGGCCAAGCCCGCACAAAACTCATGTCCAAACCTAAGAATTTTGTGGATATGGTAGGAAAGAACACTCGTACTCAGTTTCAAACTATATGTGCCTATCAAGGTAAATTACAAGAGTTTAAAGATGGAACGGGGATCTGCTTCTCACACAGGGGCGCCTCACATGTACATCCACTGTGCATTGGGAACATCTCCCATGAATAATAACTTATAGGTGTTCTCAATACATGGTAGGATGTGCATGTGAGGCGCCTTGTGTGAGGAGCAGATCCGGTCTCTTTAAAGATAACTGCAATCAATAATGACATGACATATCTACTGCTAAGGGAATTGGGATCTATTCTTCACAGATCACGCCTCACCCCACCTTATATTAGGAGTATCTCCCCATAAATAATAAATATAAGTATGGGAAATGTCTCTCATATGCAGTCAGAACATGCTGTGTGGTCGGTGTGAGGCACGGGCTACTTAACAGGAGAGATGGGATCTGCTCCTCACACTTGGGCGTCTTACATGCACATCCACCATGCATTGGTAACATCTCCCGTGAATAATAACTTAAAGTACAGAAGATGTTCCCAATACATGGTAGGATGTGCGTGTGAGGCGCCCTTTGTGAGGAGCAGATCCGGTCTCTTAAGAGGAGCTTGCCTAACACTCTATTTTCAACCTACCAAGAGGGAAGTATTGAATTAACCATGTGTACAATCTCTATAGTCCATGTGTCAGCCTAGGGTTTACTTTTTATTTCTGTTTTCTACAAAAATTGAAGTTTATTTTTTAATATTAAAATTGTCTACCCATGTGGTTTATTTTAAACTCTAACCACGTGGCAAGATATTTTCTGAAAGAAAATAATGTATTTGTTATTCTTGATACCAGTCTAATTTTGTATTTTTGTGCACATCCCCCTTGAGAGATGTTTTGAATACACGATGAGAGTGTGCTGTGGGATGTTGTGGGGCTGATTTGAACTCCATCCCCGCTGTGTATTAAGAACATTTTCTAATGATAACATATCATTTCTATATTATCATCAGGAGATGTTCTCAATACACAATGGGATGTGCTGTGGAACATTGTGGGGGGCTGATTTGATCTCCTTCTCTTATGTAGGACCCATCAAATTGTGGGTCCTGATCCTCTGACAGTGGAACAAGTGGCAAGTCCCAAAGATATCACATCTGCGCTCTGTGGGTCTTTTGTGGGGCGCCTTTTGTAGGGACATATGTGAATTCAATCACAATTCCCAAAGGCCTAAAGCCCAAACCCGATAAGAGGGAGAAGTCTTAAGTCCCAGATCATGATCCGTGTGCTTCGAAGAAAACGAATCCTGACCAGTAGTGCCAGTTCAAATCCAACGGCCTGAAAGCACTGGCGCCACGTTCACCAATGTTTCAAAAATTTCACTCCCCGCCTATATAACAATTCCCTCCTCTCATCGCCTTAATCACTCGCTTCAGATTTTCATTCTCTCTCTCATTCACATGATACAAACCCTAATTTCTTCATCTTTTCTCTGTATCTTTCGTTGGCAATGGCAAGAACCAAGCAAACAGCAAGAAAATCGACTGGAGGGAAGGCCCCAAGGAAGCAATTAGCAACCAAGGCCGCCAGGAAGTCGGCTCCGGCGACCGGCGGGGTGAAGAAGCCCCACAGGTTCAGACCTGGGACGGTGGCTCTGAGGGAAATCAGGAAGTACCAAAAGAGTACCGAGCTTTTGATTCGAAAGCTTCCATTCCAGAGGCTCGTTCGTGAGATCGCTCAGGACTTTAAGACTGACCTTAGGTTCCAGAGCAGCGCAGTTTCTGCCTTACAGGAGGCCGCCGAGGCTTATCTGGTTGGGTTGTTTGAAGACACCAACCTTTGTGCTATTCACGCCAAGAGAGTCACAATTATGCCCAAGGACATTCAGCTTGCACGAAGAATTAGAGGGGAGAGGGCTTAATGCGTTCTCTACAGGATTCCCCTGCTGTTCTCTAATATATGTTTCTCTATCTGTATACAAGAAGTTTAAGCATATTTTTCTTGTTCTGGTAGTCTTGTTTTGAAATGAAGAAATACAAGATCCTGTTTGGAATTTTGATCCCTTTCAGGACACGCTTCAATTAGTGATTGATTCACGGTTAAGACAAAAAATCCTCAATTGTGATCATAGACAAGATGCGATTTTCCTTATTAGAAATGAGATCCAATAAGATTAAACCTGGAATTGTCTTAGATTCAGTTGGTCACAGAGTCTCCATGTTCTTCCATTGTAACAGGGATCCTGTATATTCCTAAAAGGACTTAGGATCCTGAAAATATTTCTCTTAAACCGCATTTTGGATCCCAATGTCTTCTGAATGTTCTCCCATGGCATGAAATCGTTTATGTTTGAGCAATTTTGGTTGCCCGGTGTGATGATGTCATCGGCTGGGTTCTTGAAAATTGCATCAGGTTCCCAGAGTTCACAGGTTAATGCATGATCTCTTGATATTCTTGTTTTCTGTCTAATTTGAATCTCTGGTATGAAGCCTCAACCACTTTGTAAGCAACTTCAAGTTTTAGACTGATTAATTTATGATGTTGATTCTATTATTTTGTGTAACTTTTATTTCTCGTATGAAGCCACATCCACTTGTAAGCAACTTATAAATCGCAGAATCCCATAATTCCAAGAGTTCACAATGAATTTTGCTCTGTGCAACTCTAGGCCAAGCTGATTTACTAGTTGGACCCAAGGTTAAAAGCCAAAGGAGCCTAGGATGGACTAATGCTGTAATAGAAGGCACCCAGTCCAATCCTTCATTTTCTCTGGTTCAAACTTCAAAGGCTGCAGCAGATGTGTTAATTGTTTTTTTTTTTTTTTTTTTAACTCGATTGGCTCAATTCCCTTCTGCCCAAACATCTCTACTTCGTCGTCAAACTACCTAGGGCTATGAATTCATCACTTTTTGGGGTTCCAGGCTTCCAGTAACATCTAAAATAATTTGAAATTTCTTGTAAAATACCAAACAAAAGAAGTTGAGATGGCCGAGTTGGTCTAAGGCGCCAGATTAAGGTTCTGGTCCGAAAGGGCGTGGGTTCAAATCCCACTCTCAACAAAGATAGCCTTTTTCTATTCTCCTGCAGAGGGATAACATTTTGAGCCAATTTGATTTAGCTTGGGCTACATGAGCTGAAGTGGGTGAGAAAGGTTCTCTCAAAAACCGATCTAAATCTAGCCTTCCAAATGGCCCCGAATTTTTAAACCTTCATCTAAAAAGTTTTGTTTCGTCTCAACATCAAGGTCTTACCACCAAATCAACCCGGTCACAAAAGGGTTTTGGAATATGTTTTATTGGCAGTAGGTTCAGATAGGGTTTAAAGTATTGATACATATCGGCATGTATCGCTTGATATGTATCGTATTAGGAGATTCCTGATATGCCCCTACATAAGTATATTGGGGTTTCGATTGGTTCAGAGGATGGACAGACCTTAAATCAATCCCTCTGAACCAGATTTAAAAAAAAAAAAAAAGGCTATCAATACTGCCTAATATGCAAACATATGTGTTGATACTTTGAACCTTGGGTCTGTATTCCAAGCAAAACTGTTTGCACTAGGGCATATGATGGGTGGTTCACCTTATTGCCCCATATGATTGCTCTTCCAGAAGGATTTTCAAGAAATGTTTGGAAGGACTGTAGATGGGCTATGAATTCATCACTCCTTGAGATTCTAGTAACACCTATTGAAATTGCTTGTGCCTAAAGAAGCAACAAAAGTTGAGATGACCGAGTTGGTCTAAGGCGCCAGATTAAGGTTCTGGTCCGAAAGGGCGTGGGTTCAAATCCCACTCTCAACAAGAGTCTATTTCCATTCTCTTGCACAGGGATAAAATAAATTGAAGTTACCTGTGAAAAGAGAAGCAACAAAAGTTGAGATGGCCGAGTTGGTCTAAGGCGCCAGATTAAGGTTCTGGTCCGAAAGGGCGTGGGTTCAAATCCCACTCTCAACAAGATAGTCTATTTCCATTTTCATGCACAGGGATAATATTTTGAGCCATTTTGATAAAGCTTGGGCTACATGATCTGAAGTAGTAGAGGTGTAAATCGGGTTGGGCCACCCGTGGCCCAACACCCACAACAGCTATAAACAGTCATATTAGGGGGGTGTTTCTATACTTTGCTTATGAAGGGTTGAAAAAGTGATAGGGCATTTTGGGTAAAGTTATAAGTAACTTTACAATGACCAAAATACCCCTCCCAATAACTAAATAACAGATAGTTTTTTTGGGTATTTTGGGCAATTGAATTATGTTCAATTCCTATAAATAGCCCTATCCTCCATCATTCTCATCACACCAATTCAACAATTCTCTTATCAAGTTATTCTCTTAATTTCTTCAATCTTTCCTCTCTCAGTCTCTTTCAGTCTCTCATACATTCTCTGTCATCTGAGTGAACTCTGATAGTCTCATAGTCTAATTGGCTGATTGTCTGATTCTCCAAGTTAGCAATTTGGGAGGTTTGGATCCTTGAACGTTGGTTTTAACCGTTGAAATCAAATTGGGATTTTGAACCGGCAATCTGGGATTCCGAGGTAAGTCCAATTAAATTAATTTTATTTTTTTTAGAATTTGAAAAAAATGGCCAGCTCTTCCCAAAACCCCAAGTTTAGTAGCCTGATTTGGAGAATATTTAAAATAGAGGATGTTGAGGGGAAGGGAAAAAGAGCAGTTTGCCAAAAATGTAGAAAAGATTTTAGCTATTGTAGCAAGGGTGGTACTGGCCATTTGACTAAACATTTTCTCATACATGAGAAGGAAAAAGAAATAACCCACAATTTAAATGAATTTTTGAAATAATGGAAAATAAATTTTAAAAATATTGGGAGAAGTCGGAGTCTTGGAGAACATTTCTCGCCGCCAATCCCGCCATGGCACGTGATCCGTGATCTACTAACCCTGCCGGTGTCTATAGGCTATATTTCCATTGGAGTCTTATTTAATTGTTTTAGTGCAGAACCTGCAGGTACCACACTATGGCACTACCACTGTACCAGCCTACCAGGGTTGGCTAGATGTAGTTATTAATCATGATGCGGAATATAGATTACAACTTTATAATTACAAGACAAAGGAGGGCATGATACTACAAATTACTACAGTACTGCAGTATTACATACACCGGATATTTGGTTTTTCACTTGAAGGAGATGATGAAAGTGTGTGTGAATGCTTTCATCATAATGTATATGTAAATTTTCTTTAAATTGTAAATTTTAACAAATAACCCACAATTTTTTATTTTGTCAAATTATTATAAATTTTGTTTTAATTTTATTTAATTTATTTGCTATTAATGTAGCTTTGTATTTTCAATTTGTAACTATATAGTCTATATAGTCTATAATTCTATATTGTATTTTTTATATTTTATTAATTTATTCCATTTTCATATTTCATTCATCCAACTATCCAAGTATGAAGTTTATGAAGTATCCAACCATTATATATTTCATAATTTCAATATTTGTATAATTGTATGCTTTGTAATTTGTATCATTATTCATTCAAATTTAAATGAAAAAAGATTTTTAAATTCCTATTTGAATTGTTTTATACTTTTATTTATTTATTCTTTGGGTTATTGGGTAATCATAAATTTGTTATTAATTTATTATTCGTTTCCTAT